TCAGACTACCATGGAAAGAAACTCTGTGGGACATAGTGGGACTTGCTTTAAAGTAAATAAGCATAGAATAATACTGCAATGCACTTGTTGATTCACTTAGGTTTAATAAGTACCCTTGTGGCACAGTGGTTAAACTGCTGCACTGCAGCCAAAACACTGTTCACGACCTGGGGTTCAATCCCAGGTAGCTGGCACAAGGTTGACTCAGCCCTCCATCCTTCTAAGGACAATAAAATGAGTACCCAGCTCACAGGGGTGGGAACAATGTGTAGCCTGCATAATTAACTTGTAAACCACCCAGAGAGTGCTTTAAGTGCTATGGGGCAGGTATATAAGCAGCACTCTTTGCTTAAAAAAATATTTTTAATTGTTCTCTTACAATTTAGGTCATGCTTTGTTTGTTCTAGTTATAGAAATCATAAGCAATTTTGGAGGTTTCCACTCAAATGAAACATGAGAAATTTTAATGGAATAAAATATATAACAAAGTTTCAATGTATCCCTAGAAGGAAGTGGTAACTCTTTGAGCTGAGACAGATGACATGAGCTAGGCATAGGTAAGGAATTATTCTTTCAAGGATTTAACATATCCCCCATGGCATTTAAAGACACTTGAGCCATTTACACTGTTCCATATTGACATCACAGTGGTGCACTCACTCAGCCCACTGATTCCTACCCTGTATTACTGTGTATGGGTGGCCACATCACTTGCAAGTGCTCTGGTGCATGTGTGGAACAGTCCTCTGGATAGGCAATTCAGTGGTGCCTCACAGCCTGCATGTTTTAGTATTTAGATACCATAACTTGGTGGGATCTTGATTTATTCAGACATAGAGCAGATCCTGTGAAATCACTGGAACGTTGTTACTCATTATGACTAATATAAGTCGCATTGTGTTCAGCTCTATCTCTGAATTTGCATTTCAACCTCCTGGTTGAAATTCAGTATTAAGTTGCAAATAGAGTAAGTGCATTTAATCAGTGGAACTTGCAGAGGAGTTGGTTCACCAAATCTCCATGGATTCAGTGGGCCTATCCTAGTTGTGAGTTATTACCGGACTTCAGCCAGTGTGCTTTTGCTTTCCAGAACATATCCACAGCTATCTGGACCAAAAGAAAAAAAGAAAACATATGTAACCGTAATGAATCTTTAAGCTCCATCATTTTGATGGTGAGTGGTTTTTAAAAAAATAAAATAAAATCAGAACAAGTAACATATTGCATCTAAATGAATAAAATAATCTCAGTGCATCATTTTAGATGTCCATAGGATCTTGAGAAGGATTTTCAACACCCAATGATATAGATTAAGAAATGAATGTAACAGAATCAATTCTTTTGAACTGTGGTTGCATAATGGAAATCGACTACTATGAGTGAACTCATGTTCAGAAGTTATGAACAGCAGGACTAATGCACTGCAATGAGTTCATCTTTATTATTGCATTACACCTGAATCAATTGATAAAGAAAGTTTTTTTAAAAAAAGCTAGGAATGGCACTTAATTGAATAAAAGTCAATGTAATTATATTAGGAGAAGCCAGTGGTACTGCTGACAGCGGAAAAGGGACCTTACCGATGAGAGTGCCAGAACTTGTCCACACATTTCTGCACATTGTTCGCCTGACAGATATTAAGGGCTGGAACATAACCTTATTGGATTACTGATATCTCTTGCTGTAAATGATAAGTGAATAGGAATGGCATCACTTTCTGAAACCAGCTGCAATTTCTAACGGTTCATCATCATGAGGACAACAATTTTTACTTGGGGTGGGATGTGTATGCCCCAGATGCAACATTCATAAGTCCTTGTACTTCATGTTAAGTAAATCTTGACCTTAAACGTGTGCACCTATTAGCTTGTCCCCTGATGGTTTCCAATGGTGTGGTAAACACTGCTGGGTTAACATAGTAATGTATTCCAAAGTACGTATCATGTACCTGGAGCAGGCAGTATGCTGCTGCAATGAAAATTGTTCCTGTGTATCAGCATTGTTTGCTACAGCAGTCAGAGGAGCAGGTGGTTTCCATCGATGGGCCATCATAGTATCATTCATGGTGCCATGAGCCTCAGTACTCTCTGTAACACATGCACAATAACAGGCAGTATAATTGCTGATAGTTAACAAAATAGGGTTTCATAGTCTAGTGCTATATTTTCTTTACCCATTTTTTCCTCTTGGTCTACTTTTGCCATCTGATCCAAGAATGGGCAAGAAATAATTCTGCTGATGGAGGCTGTAAGACCGACTTTTCTTTATTGATATTTCATGTCTGTGAGCATTGAATGCATCTGTTCAGTACAGGTCTGTGCGTGGTGTGAATTTGCCTTTGTCTCATTTGATTTATGGTTTTAGATTGTGTGGTTGGTCCGATAACCATCGGCACAATAGTGTGAGATGATGGGTGACAGAAAATGATCTCATGGACAAAGCATTTGTAGCCGATATTTTATTGTTTTAAGATTCTTTTTTTTCTAAAGCCAGATGTGACTGGACTGGAATGTGAATTTGTTCTCTCTCTCTCTCTCTCTTTCTGTTTTCCTCTTTCTTTTATGATCTCAATTTAGCAAAAGATTAGAAAGCTGATCTTATCACAAGGTAAGCTCAGCCTTCGTAAGTGCAGTGTGGAGATATGTATAAATGCTTAGGAAAAGCAGGAGTGCAAAAGTTGTCGTGAAAGGATGGTTGTCCCCTTGAGAATTAATGAATTGTCTTATGCCTTCTGCTTCCCACTCATTCACTTAATGGATGTATCTTACACTAGCTCTTCTCCCAGGAAAGAGACTGTATTTGAAACCCAGATTTACCCCCCTTCAATTATCAGTCCACCCTTTGACTACAAACAGCCACCTGCCTTCTGTCAAAGGAGTATAGGTTGATATCCCAGTCTGTTATATTTAATAAGGTAAATAAGTTATGCTAAGGTATGATGAACCACATAAAGAGCTATGGAGAATTAACTCTACATTAGTCTCTTTTTTCTCCCCCTCTCCCCTGCTGTGATGCACAGTTGAGTTATTCTGCTGTGTTTGAGCACCTGGTTGAGATATATGCTGTTTTGTACATATGTTGTTTGAACAGCCAGTGTTCAAACAATGTAAAGATATCTGATTTTGTCAGTTTTGGTTTCCTATATTTAGTCACCCCATCCCTGCAAGGAACTTTAATGTGAAGAAGAAGTTGGCTTTGTAGACCAGGAACCACAGACCTAGATTGGATCCAGATGTGGATCAGACACAGCACATTTGAACATAAGGCACCAAGTGTGCCCCCCATTTGAACTACAAGGGATGAAAAAAAGGCATGCATTCCCATCCGCAATGCAATGTGGTTGAGAATGTATATCCCTAATTGCTGGCTTTGGTTGGAACACAGTGTTGTACGCAACTATATTTGGATTGGAAAGCCTGTTGACTCCCTTCACTTTTCACTAAAATCTTTGCTGGGAGGCAGCTGCTTTATATATTTTTGCAGCTAACATGCCATATACGCCCTGTGTTTTGAGGCACAACAGAGTTTGAGGATCCTTATGGCAGTCAGAACCAAGTTCAAGAATCTACAGCTGACAGAGACTTATTGTTTATAGGATTTTAGTGTATTCTCTTGACTATAGGTGATCCCATACTCTGCAACTTGTGGTTTGCAAAGTGCTAAGGGTCTTGGACTCCTCCTGTTGCTTTTTGCAGGGTTAAATCTTGGAGTAGGCAAATATGCAAACTGAGATACATTGCACATGCAGAGATGTCCTGTGACACATACCACTGTTGCAAACCTGAAACCATGCTTTGGAGTTGATGGAAGATAACCTCTGGGATCAAAAAGATAAGAATGTTTAATAACCCTTTTAATTAAGTTTTAATAGGCTAGCTTAGTTCTTTTTTGGATATTCTTGTTGTTTCCCTTAAGATGCCTTCAAGGGGAAAAAACTCTGGCCAAAATCCTGTTACTTACGCCCATGAACATAACACAATTGGTGTAAAACTTAATTGATGCATTTACACCAGCAGTTGTAACAAATGGAATCTGACTGATTGTGTAGTAAAGCTACTGAAGCAAAAACAAACAAATAAATGTACTAAGGCTGACAGTTATGCCACTAGGTCTTTCATCAGTTTTAAGCAGTACAGAATCATAATCAATCGTAATCGTAATCACTTTTCAAAACTCTTCAGAATAAAGTAGAACAAATCACCATGGTTTAGTTTCCCAATTCCTGATGAGGACCACCACTCCCAATTTAAATACATAGGCACTATTAGTCTAAACTAATGTAGACCCACTTAATTAATGAAGAACAGTCCTTAACCACCGATTTACAGATTTCCTATTGATTTAGTGAATTTACTCCAGTTGGGACTAAACATTGGATATTGGCCATGCAAGCTAGTTTTAAGCCAGAGAGCTATGTGGAATGTATATGTTTTCCTTCTATTGGAAAATGCCCAGAAAAAAAAATTGTGGAAGCTTTTCCCCTGTTATTGGAGAGAGAATACATGTGTCTAATGTCTTAGGCTGTCTTCCGATTAACCCTTGCCCCTTGCTGGTCTCACTCATTACAATCCACCAATGGTTCCAATTGTGTGCATTCAGAGAAAGATTCCACTGCTTTTCTCTGCACTTGTCTTGTTTCAAAGGAAATGGAACACTTTTGTGGAGAGCAGCAGCAATAGTCCATGCATTTTAAAAGGCCATATTGTTGCTTAGCCTGGTATACATTATGTAAACTCAAAAACAAGAGCTGCAATTGCTTACAAGATTAATTAATTATAGAAAAAGGTCACTTGAAAAAAAACTGTGGGTTAGTATGGATTTTATCTCGCATTTGTAGGAATGTTGATGTCCATGTTAAGTAATGACTTGTGTCCAAGAAAACAGGGCACTCATAGTAATATTGCATGAAGATTATGTGTTGCTGTCATGATTTATTCGGTAAAGTTTGCCCTGTAAATGTAACCAGCAATGTTTTTCTTCCTCTCCTCTTCCTTTCCCAGACACAGTGCTAACATAAACCTGCACCGTAAACTGTTGACCAAAGAACTGGATGACATGGGACTGGATTCTTCTCAGCCCTCACTTAGTAAGGATCTCCGTGATGAATTTTTGATGAAGATATATGGTACCCCACATCAGATGGGGTTTGATATAAGGGAAGACACATCCTCCCCAGCTGGTACTGAGGACTCCCATCTGAATGGGTATGGAAGGGGCATATCTGAAGAATACATGGTGTTGGACCTGAGTACCACCTCCAGCATCCAATCTAGCAGTAGCATCCATTCCTCAAGAGAATCTGATGCGGGAAGTGATGAGGGGATTCTTCTTGATGATGTCGATGGGGCGAGTGACAGCGGGGAATCCTCACATAAAGCTGATGCCCCTGCCTTAGGGGTTGGCATGGGTGCTGACATCCCAGGATCCCTCTTGTTTAACAGCGTTACTGTGAGCAATGGGGGGATCATGTGTAACATTTGCCATAAAATGTACAGCAACAAGGGGACCCTCAGGGTGCATTACAAGACTGTGCACTTGCGTGAAATGCACAAGTGCAAAATCCCAGGGTGCAACATGATGTTTTCGTCAGTCCGCAGCCGGAATCGGCACAGTCAGAACCCTAACCTGCATAAAAACATTCCATTCACTTCACTTGATTAGTTCAAAGGTGGACATGGTAATGCGCCAGCTCTGCCAGAGAGACTTGCTTCTTTGAACAGCCATTTACTGACTCTTATATAAATATATAAAAATATAAATATAAATATATATCTTTTTTTTCTTTTTAACAAAACAGAAAAACACCAGGTGCTCCCCCCTTTTTTCCCTTAAGTTTTTTTGTTTTGTTTTGTTTCATTAAGAGTTTTCATTTTGTGAGGGTCAGGGTCCTCCATAACCTGGGATTAAATTTCCATTGCTTTAAAACAAAACAAAACAAAACAAAAAAGAACCTCACGTATTTTTTTTTAAAACAAAGCAAAACAGAAGCAGACGTTTATTTTTAAAGCCCTGCCTTTATTCTAAAATACGTGGTCATCTGCCTGTGACTATTGCCTGCAGTCCTAGAAAAGGAAGGGGAGGGGGATAAGAAATGGAAGAAGCAAAGCACGGCAGAGAGGGGGGTGTCGCAGGGTGGGGAGGGGAGGAGAACAACTTTCATTTGTCCTCTGTGTATTTTAAACTTTTGAAAGGACTGTCAACTGTGCATGGCTGTTACACTTGTATATATTGAGCCTTGAAAGGGCTCATGATGTAAAACAATTGTATTGATGGTGGTTTAACTTTTTAAATTTTTTTTTTACATTAACATTTACATTCAGCTGTTAGATATGCGGGGATGGGGGGATAGTTTGCTGGCTAGCTCTATTCATTTGTATCAGCTTCTGTGCACATTTTTTAAAAAAAACAAACAAAAAGAAAATGAAAATGAAAACACAAAGTCTTGTTTTTTAACTACCTGCTAGAGATGTGTAATGAGGAGGTGCTGGCATGCTTTTGAGCACCTGATTGGATATCATTTTTTTTCTTCGCTTTTTTTTCTTTCATTACTATTGCATAAACCCAGTCATGCACTTTTTTCTTACACAATGTGGGGATGTGTAATAATATCCATACCCTTTTTTCCCTTATAAGTCTTGCCATACGTCCAGTGTCTTACTAAGGAAAATACACTTTGTTACAAGTGGTCTGGTCGATACAGAGTGTGAATGCCGAAAAAAATGTGTTACTTGATAACAGAGAACTGCCAACTTTGCACAAGTTTTCAGTAACCGAAATATCATCATATCCACCTTAAGCAGATGCCAAGATTTTGTCAGGGGGGTGGGGGAGGGGAATCAGTCCTATTTATGTCAGAATAGAGGAAGCAGAGAGAGAAAAATGTTCTTGTCAGGGTCTAAAGAGTGTAGCCACATCCATAAAGCAAGTCCATGGTTTGCTAAATCTTTTTCTTCCCTAAAGGAAAGCAAATCTATGCTGAGAGAGATAGCAAAAGTATTCTTTTCAAACGAGAAAGCCTGGGCTCTCAGAAAACATGACTCTCGAGCTGCATTCCTGTATACTCCTATTTGAGACTAAGCCCAGTGGAAGACAGTCAGACTTTCTTCTGAGTAATACGTGTATAGGGTTAGGCAAGTGTTGCAGAGAATGCTTGGTTGTTCCCAAACCGCATCATCATCTCCCCCAAAACATTTTTCAGCTAACATTTAGAAAAAGTGAGATCATGAAGTAATTTGCTTCCATTCTCTGTTTTCCCACTCTGCTTCCTTAGTCACTGAATACTGAATACAGTACAGTGATATTTTATCACATTGTGGATTCCTCTTAAAAGTTACTAAAGAGACAGATATCAGAAGTGGTGTTGAGGACACGGGTTTACAAAAGTCAGACACCACATGTAGAGTTCAGTTAGTAATTTAAGGACTGAATAGAAATTTGTGAAATGAATTTTTGTGTTCCCTGCTGAAGACTTGGGCTTTAGTTGCATTAGAAAAACAACACCATTCTGAGCTCTGTAAAGTTGTCTGATGGGCACTAGGAAGTGCTATGGTAAAATTGAGAGATGTTTCTTCTCAAGCAGCCAAAAGCCATTAATGGCACAAGCACTTAAAGTCTTCATTTTATTGCGTAGCTTCCCCTGTTGGAGAAATCAGAAGCTGGTGGCTCTGGAAGAAAGGAATTCTAAACAGTTCTTCATGGTTGAGTCATCTGTTCTTTCCCAGCATAATTTGTCAGAGAAGAGTGAGGAAATGCATCAGAGAGAAAGCCAAGAGTTGAGGAATACAGGGAGAAGCTGCTCTCCAAGTCTTTATGTTGTTATTGTTTCTGGTGTTTACACATGTTGTCTTGAGCATGGCCAACCACACTGGCAGTCTGTGTTACCACAGCATACTGAATGAATGACAATATTTACTTAAGTTCAGCCTACTGCTGAGATCAGGATGGCGTGTGTCGTATAACAGTTTCTTTATAAATAAAAAAGATGCACAAGAAATATTTCCACATACACTGTATTGCTAGCTCAAAAAGAATGCTTTCCTTCCTAAATCATTTATCTTGTGATTGCAAAACTAGAAATGTCTGTTGGAATCTGTTGTGTAATTCCAACCACTGATAATTGTTTATCAGCGTCAGCAATCCACTCTGCTAATTTTACTAGGAGAACCCATGGCAGATAAATATATGCGTTTCTCTTCATTGGGCCTACCCTGAGTTATGGTTAAGTCTCCCTGGAAGCAAGTGCTGGCTCCTCAGTGGGGTTTTTTTTTAAAAAAAAAACAAAAATACTACTTGCAATATCTCCATGTGTGTGTAAAAAAAATCCTTAATTGAAATGCCTTATGTTAGGCTATTTTTTGTTGTCGTCGTCTTCGAATAGTAAATTCAAGTCTCAGCATTATTAATACAGACTTTTTAAAAAAATGCCAATCAGTATGTCAAATAAGTTTATATCACAAATATGTTTACATCGACTCCACAACTTTTCCTGACTTGATTTTTTATTTGTTTTGTCTTTTTTCAGTCTTAATTATCTTTTTGAATAGTAATGATGATGATGAAATTGAACAGAGAGATGCTTTGTTTTGTTTTATGCTGCATATGTACTGTATGCTTGTGAAAGGGAAGATAGAAAAGTAAAGGCGTGTTCTTCCCAGACATACAAACCTTTGTAGTGTTATATGTATTGCACTGTCTCTTCATACCACCTCCAAGTTATTAGGAATCAAGCGAGGAAAAGTATTGAAAAGGCAGGACTTACTTAAACAAATGGCTAAATGGTATCTAAGGAACAAAGAACACTGTTTTTGAAGTATGTATGATTTAAATAAATATCATTTTTAATGAAAAACATATTTGAGGTATATAAATAATTCTTCCCTGAATAAATCACTGTTCTGCATTCTCATTTTACTTTTCTTTTTGCTAAAGGTCAAGTGGCTTTTGTACAACTAGACTGGAAATTTAAACATCATCAAGTAGGCCTTATTCAGCAAATGAGTTGCACAGACAACATATGTTTGTTACACAACATGAAACAGGATGGTAGATAATTATAATGAATCAGAGAAGAACAGACACAGTTTAGGCATTAACATTCTTTTATATCAACATCTGAATGTATATGAGAGAGGGGACTAGAAGGATAGCTTGTACATGGCAAACGTAAATAGAGTTTCAAATGACTTTGTCATACCTTCTACCTAAGTCATTTACAGCATATTGTGTTCTAGTGAATATTAATGTGCTCCCCAAGGAAGTGAAATATCATAAAAAAAAAAGACACTGACATTTTGGATCCACCCACCACTGTCTCCAGGATGGGGGGAATTCTGTTTTGCATTCGCATACATCTCTTTGTCCTGAGTGGGTGGTGCTATCATCCAGAGCAGTGGTCCCCAACCTTGGGCCTCCAAATGTTCTTGGACTTCAATTCCCAGAAATCCTGGCCAGCAGAGGTGGTGGTGAAGGCTTCTGGGAGTTCTAGTCCAAGAACATCTGGAGGCTCAAGGTTGGGGACCACTGATCCAGAGGACCAAACTCTTTGGTGGAGCACTTGCCTCCTTTCTCAAAGAACGCTTGCCTTTCTGACAGCTGCTACTGGGCAGTGTAGGCAATAGAAAACCAGATTAACTAATGCTAAAAGGCAGCTTCCAAGGGAGAGAAACAGGAAGCACTACAGTACTAATAATTCTGAAACATCGCTAACGTCCAACACTTCCTAAATGCTGGATAGTCAGATACATACTGATTGTGGCATCGGAATGCAATTAACTGCGCTATCCCATATTTGTCTATTGTTCTGGCCATTGATCAAGGGCATGTGTGGTGGTACTTCTAGTGAAACAGGGAATTGTGATTATAATTTTAATCTAGAAAAGATTGTGCCCACGTACCAAAAGTTTGGAGAATGCTATCCTAAGAGCTCAGCTCTATGTTTGGTGGTGTTTTTTGTTTGTTTAAAGTGGGAGCATGGCAGAATTAGGACAGCACTATTTCAAAATACAATGAGCTTTGTTTCCAAATATCAAGCACCCTCTTTTGTTCACAGATTTGCTCTCCGATTTGCTCTCCTGTCCTAAAGATAAGGAGAAAGCCGCATCCTGATAATGACAAGGCTGAAAGGAAAACGGTAGTAAATGTGCTTCTCTTTGCAATTTTTCATTTAATTACGTGAGCCTTTTAGTGATAGAATAGAGTAACATATCAGATTCTAAAACAGTTTTTTTAAAAAAACCTAATAAACTTTTAAAATGTTTTACACAGTGGTACACTTTCTTGTATATTGTTGCTCATCGCTATTGGTTTTTGCAAGCACCATCCAATTAGGTGCCCTTGCATTCCCCATCACACGTCTAATCACTCTGTCATGCAACCACAACCCACAAATGCAAAGGCTTGGGGATAAGAAGGGTTCACCGCATTTCGTTCAAATCTGGAGCTTCAGAAGTTAACAACTGCATTTTTATTGTATGAAGAAAGAAAAGTTTTGTCTTGAAAGTTCTCCAGATGGCTTTCCCAAAGGCCTTTCTTCCAGCTGCCAGCGCCATGGGATAGGTGGGGGTGGGGGGAACCCACAGCTCTCAACTTATAAACCTCTTGTAATCTTTCAATAAAATGAAGCAAAATCTACAAATGGATCATATGAATTCCTAATGGTTGTCTTTAACTATAGAAATGAAAATAATGTTTTCTCTCTGAATAGATAATTCAGATGCATTTTTA